ACATTGTTCAGAAAGTGAGCTGTAACAAATACTAACAGATGTATTACTCAAAAGTAAACCTAAGGGCATTGTTTGTTTGTCTATGCATTCTGTTCTATTAGTCCCTTTCTTTTGAATAGGATTGCTCTGTGTCAGTCAGGTCAGTCGGTTAAACTCACCTTAAAGGTGGTAAAGTTAAAGTGTGTTTTTGACGTTTGTCTGGGCCATAAATTGTAAGGGTCAAGATATTTTTTCAAAAAACTTCATTGACATATATTGTGTTTAGACTGGGCAGTGTATCACATACTTTTCTCATGTTAATACATGTACATCTCCAAGGTCAAGGTGACATTAAGGGATCAAGGGGTCAAGTCCTTGTAATGCTTGTCCAGGCCAAGACCATACTTGCTGATTTCTGAATGGCACAATCTATTTTGATGAATCAGCATGTACAAAGAATGTGTATTAGGTAAAACTTACCAATATTTGTATCTGTACTCCAGTGTCAAGGTCAGCAAAAGTGCAAGAAATGGTCAAAGGTCAAGTGATTTGAATGTTTATATACAGGCTTTAACCTCGAAAGGCTAAACGAATGTATCACGACAGATAGGTGTGTATACCATAATACTATACATGTTTGTTGCTCAAGATCAAGGTCACAGCGAGGTTCAGAGTCACATAATTGTAATTCTTGTATGGGTGATAGTTTGTGCTAGCTCAAGCGTATTTAATGAAACTTCAATGATAGTTGTGTACCGTGACTAGACTGTTTCTGACATAAAGGTATACCAGTGTCATGTCAAAGTTGAAATGATTGAAATATTTTGGAGACAATGGAATATCTTATTTAGTGAAAAAGGTGTTTTTGTCTTTTTGACAACATTATATTTAGTAGTATCGTGACTGGGAGTATGTTGTATCAAGGTTCCAGAAAGTAATCCAATGGCCTACCATTCCTGTCATTCCTGTCATTCTCAGGCAATAACAGCAGAACAGATTTTGATCAAACTTCATTGATAGATTTTTCACATAGACTTGCAGAAAGTAGGGCCCTTTTTTTTGTATCACACCTAGACAATGTCATCATATGTCATGGTAAATGATGTGTATTACAACTAGAAAAAGGATCAGAGTAAAAATGACAGGTTTCACTTTGCAAATTACTTACTAGATATAACTCAAGTGAGTGATTTATTTTATTAAACTTCAAAGGTGTAGAGCCAACGTCGGGAAAAGCTATCCGGGTTGGTAAGTTGGGTACTTCCCTTTGAGTATGGATACAAAGAGGTATGTCTGGCGATTAAAAAACAAAACCATTTGAAAACCCTGTTATTGGTAACACTTCAGTATGTTGTGGTTAAGTCCCCGTACTTATATTGGATTTATTTTGCAACAATTATGAAACAAGTTTTTTTTTCTTTGTGAAAAGGCAAGTGCTCTACTCACTGTACCACGCGACCCCCTTACTTGAGTTAGCATGCATGTGAAAGGCAAGTGCTCTACTCACTGTACCACCCGACCCCCTTACTTGAGTTAGCATGCATGTGAAAAGGCAAGTGCTCTACTCACTGTACCACCCGACCCCCTTACTTGAGTTAGCATGCATGTGAAATGCAAAATTCAAAGACCAATTGGTAACATGTTAACTTGACACTGAATACAGATTGTTTTCAGACATGTCTGCCCAGCTTTATAAACAGTGTATGCTAGGAAGTATACAATGTATATTAAATATCATGTGAAATATGGTTTCCTCAGAAAGGGGTAATATATACATGCATCTGCACTCTCAAACATGGATTTTTTTATAATCAGCAATTCACAGATACCAACATAACAACAGACTCGATGAATTTTACTGCTCCTTGCAAATGAAACAAGACTTTAAAGCGAACATATATATTATATATATGTACACTGTTATTTAACATTCTGTTTGTGTATGGAAAATATACCTGGGTATAGCTGTTTGGCAGGTATTTGCGTATCTATATAGCTGTTCTCCCAGTGAGGTAATGGCTTTGCCTAGAACTGTATATATAATATAAACTTTATTTATTTTACAACAATAAAAAAAAGAGTTTTGACAACTTATATTAATCACGGGCAGGTGACCCCATACATTTTTGGATGCTGTGTACAGCATTCATAGCGGACCTCGCCAAGCCTGGGCAAATCAAAACCAAACAACAGACTTTCCTCTTCCGCGGAAGATCTTTAAATGCTGTTATGATTATTTCATGGTATGATTAATGCTATAAAATGATGAAACGCATATGAAAACGATCAATAAATCAAAGAAAAAAAGTAAAATTTTACGAAATGGCGAGTTTTTTCAGTGAGCATCATGAACTATATCAATCTCAGATAATGTGTTCATTATTTCATGATATGATCAATGCTTTAATATGGTACAATATATCTGTATAAGACAAAAATAATCAAAGAAAATATGTACTTGTCTTTAACAGTGGCGTTTTTAATCAGTGAAACATCTGAACTATATTTGGTTCAAATTACTACGCCTTGTATTCTAATACTCTAAAGTCTGTGTGTAAGAGTTTTCTCCCCTTGTCCGTTGCGTAGTTTCATGCTCGTGACTCGTTGAATGACTGTTTGATAACTGTCCTTGATAAAGTAGGCTTCATGTTTTCTTTGTCTCAATGGAAAGTCTCCAAGTGAAAGAGAATGTTGACTTATACTAAAAAGCCGTCATCAGCTGTGCATAACGAGTTTATAGATAGCTTCCCAGTGTGACAGCAGCTGTTCCTAAAGAGTTTGTAGATATAAGCTTCCCAATACAGTCTCTAGATAATGGCCCGATTAGTGTAATACAAGTGCTTTGTGAATATAGCATATTGAACATCAATAATAAAAACTGTATATACATATTTTTCACATTAACCAGAAACTGAATAATTATATAGGTCTTTAACATTCGTTACAATATCGAGAGAAGGAGAGATACACAAGGGACTTGCATAAGTCTGTGATTACACGCACTGGAAATAATACAATCTCGTTTTAATTTTTTGTATAATTAATCATGATAATAACAAATTGTAATAATAATATCATAATTATTTATTTATATTATCTATATATTATTTTTATATAATCGTAAATTTAACTTTCCCATAATCATGCGTGACAATTTTGGTTTGCAGGGTTGTCTGGTCAAGGTCACTGTTACTATTTTTAAAAAGATTATTGTCTGCGCTGTAGCAGCTTCATTCCTTGAATGATTTCCATCGATTTGAAACACTAATTAAGGACCATTATATCAGACAAGTTTCAATTGTTTTAGCAATACTCTGCTTGTTATATATATTTTAGGTCACCTGAGCCACGGCCGCCATTTTGAAAACCTATTTCAAACTTAAAGTCAAGTTCTGCTGGGCCGATTGAACTGAAAGTTGGTAGGAATGATCAGCTCATAGTCCTGACAAAGTGTTGTTATTTTTCAGGTCAATCAGAAATCCAATATGGCCGCCATGGCCGCCATTTTGAAAAACTATTTCAAACTTAAAGTCAAGTTCTGCTGGGCCGATTGAACTGAAAGTT